ACAACAACAACAACGACGACAGCAGCACCAGCACCAGCGCCGCCACCAGAACCGGCATCAGAACCGGTACCAGCACAACCACCAGCACCAGCACCACCACCAGCACCACCAGCACCACCAGCACCGCCACCACCACAACCACCATCACCATCAGCACCATCACCGCCACTACCACCACCAATAACACCAACAGCAGCCATTGCAGAGCAGAACCACCAGCACCACAACATCATCAGCAGCATCAGCACCATCATCGTCAGCATCATCGCCAGCATCGTCAGTCATCACCATCATCATCATAATCGTCGTCGTCAACAACATTACCAGAATGTGGCAATCACCATCGTCATCATCGCCCTGGTCATCCCAGCAAAAGAAACGAAGAAGCGACCAACCTCCCCACCGGCAGCACTGTCTGAGGGACTGGCTGTATGCGCAGTATGGCAGATAACAGAAAGGTCCAGCTCCAATGCCTCGAGGCAGTGCTGAGCTGTACCGTCGCAGCGGGACGCCACTGTGACCGTTACCAGTACTCCTGCTGATTGTCGTGCTAGTTGTCGTAGGTCGTAAAGCAGTAGTGGCAGTAGAAGCAAAAGTTGAGGCTGGCAGCAGCAGTGTTTCAGATGACAAGAAACATCTCGAAAGATACTGATAACACCCTCTAACACCCAAGGTTCGAGCCCGAGCCAAACCTTGTAAGCAGATCGATGAAGAACGGACTACTGTGAAGTGCCTATGGATGCAGAGGCTGCTTCCAAAGGCACCGGTGAAGGCCAGACAGAGCTCTGTCAGCAGCAGGCTCTTCATTGGGAAAATGCAGAGTATTGAAGCGAAGAGGATACCTGAGCTGGTATATTGATTGAACTCGCATGTATTATGGATTGTATATTCTATACCGAGCTTTGCTTGAGATTGCTTGCTCTGGCCCCCACGACGCAGCTGCTCAGCTGACTACCCCAAAGCTGCCAAGGCTCCAATCGCTCCCTGAAACAGGGAAGACACTCATTTCCCCGTTTAGGGTTTAGGGCTTGGGCGGAGGGTATTCTCGCTGATGGCTCGCGAGACTTCAGAGTATCTGACACGATGTGCCTGCCACACCTGGAACTTGCGGCCGATGTCCTTGCCGTGGTACACTGAAACCAGGCCTGCACGGAAGCTGCTGGAGACACAGGAACTGCAAGACTCCTTGCAGACAATGAGGGGGTGTCTCTGGTGTCATGCACCTGTAGACGATGGTGATCTTGGTGGTGTGCAGTGCCTCTTCTACTACTTGTCCTCCTGCTGCTACTAGTCATGCTTCTGCTGCTGGCCAAAGGGAGGGGGCCCAATCCCGAGTCGCCGCCACCTGCTGAGAGCAGGCCAAGGAAGATGCCAAACATCAAAGAGGAGGCTCCCATGGCGGCCTCACGAAAGCAGCGAAGGGAATGCGTCCATGCCGCTTCTGCCGGCTGAGAGCACAAGGCTCTGTGGCCATGGTTGTGAAGGCCTGGCCGCTGTTGAGGTCGAAGTGCCTCAGCTGTAGCTGCCGAAGCTGCGATTATCCAGGGAGGGCCAGATTGCTGTACTATAACTTACTATAGTACCAAGGAAGGTATGCAAAATGCAACATGTGTCCAATACTGCTGGGGGAAATCACGAAGCCGGACTCTAGGCTGCTGCAAGGATGTTCCCTACACTGCCTTGTGAAAGGCAAATCCCACGGGACAAGACTCCATCCCATACTATCTCCTCTTCCTGCCTTGACTTTCGTGTGCACGGGTGTCAGAATCCCCTCCGAGCGGCTCTTTCAGCAACAAGGCCAGATAACCTCGCAAGAACACGCTTGCCACCTCACGCTTACACCGATTTCGAGCTGCATTCCTAGCGGGGAAGGCTCCATCTTGAGCTTAAGGGTACGTGGAAGACATTGGACAGAATGTCGAACGGCATGCAGCCGAGAGGCTCAGCAAGCAGTAGATTTGTCCCGAGCCAGCCTGACAGATCGGATCAGCTCTGCAGGAAAAGGTTCAACATGGCTTCCGTCACTGTCAGAACTCCTATCACCAAGCTGCGAATCACAGCTACTCTAGATTATCAGCCATAACCTCGAGCAGTACTGCCGTGGGCTCAAACTGCTGCATCGAAAAACAAAGGACCAATACGGTAGATCACAGTAGGTCACGGCTGAGCGGTCCTAGCAATGACGTTCCATGTGCTACCCAGCCGGCCAGCGTCAGCAGGGCCAGCCATCCCCCCACGTCGAAGATCAGGCGACGCCACTTGATGCCTGAGAAGCATTCATGTCACACGTCCTTTTTGTTTCGGATTCGCGTCTCTTTTCGCTACACGCTGTTCTGTGAGCACGAGCTCTCCGTAAAGAAACCCTGAGCACCAAGATATCTTTCAATCGAGCATGCCTCATGTGCACCGACATCTCCCACGAAAAAAATGCGAAGCTGGAAAAGATCTGTGATGCAGATACAGGTCTGACCCGGAGCTCCTATGTGGGTAGCTTTCTAAACTAGGGTCCCTTTTTGAGTCCTTTTTATAAGGGTGCCGTACTATATTGGGGACCCAACACAGGGACCCTAATTTAGAGAACTACCCATGTGACATCCATAGGGGACCCTAATATAGTACCCTAAATAGTAGGATCCTTATTATAAGGACCCCAAAATAAGGTCCCCCCAATTTTCGGAAGTTGCTGTAGTTGGTTGTCCAAACGGGCGAGGCATCGGGGTCGGCATCGGCGGCACCATCGCGTCGAAGCGCAAAGTTGCTTTCCAAGCCGGTCCTGACCAAGTTCTGTCAGCAATTGCCGGATCTGGGAGCTGCAGTTCTAAAGTCATGTGGCGATGACTTTGACTGATCTTTGACCATTCAACCCCGAATCTTCCCAGAAACCCTGCTTCCCAGCGAGGCCTCTGAAGACAGAACAAGGTCACCAGCACCATCGTAAAGTCTATACCTTGGCTGACCCCATGCGCGCATGGCAGCGTCACAATCTCGCGCCGCCAAGACGAGCGTGGGGCATGGGCCAAACCATACCGTATATAATATATACGATATACTAACTCATATAGCACTCTATATATATATATATATATGTATGTATGTACATAATATCTATATAGATATATATATATACATAATATAATATATCTATACATATATATATATGTATGTATGTATAATATGGAGCCTGGGCCTGAACTACTTGGCCGTACTTGAAGCAAGCAGCCAACTACGAAGAGCAAGGAAGAGCGCCAGCTCATTCCGAAGTTCCTTGGCTCCATCCCACAGGCAGGGCTATGAATGCGGTGCAGCTGCGGTGGACCATGGCCCTAGAGACGATTTCGACGAAGAATACGCAGCCCCCAGACGTTGCTGAAACCAAGACACAACAGGAAGCCGATGAAAAAATCACCAAAAGATCCTAAAGCTCAGGACAGCGAGTGAAGAATCCACTGGGCAAGTTGTTGCATCAAAGACCAGCTTGCATGCACTCAGGTCCTGAGAATCGACTGGCCAACGCCCCACAGAAGATGAAGATATCCTGCTTTTCCTTTGTCGAAGCACGGGACATGCACCGAGACTCTGCAAATCTCCGCAACAACTGGGTCTGGGTGCAAAACACAGTCTGCCAGACAAACCCATACAGGAGTTGAAGCCTGGACAACAGCACAAGACCGTCAGGTGCCATCCCGATGTTTGAGACGAGCTGCCCGAGGGATCCTCAGAGACATATTGCACACGCACTCATGGGCGGAGAAGCGTGCAAGCTTGCCGTCTCGTCAGTGAGCTAATCGCAGAGTGGAGAGCATTGGCATTAGCCGTAGCCTCCAAACCGTGCATTTCGGAAGGTGCAAGCAGAGCCCGTGCTTGACCTCTGTCCAGGTCTTTCATGCCAGAGCACATTTTGAAGACCGTGGCTCCAACTGCAGGCCACAAGATGCCTTCAGGTACAGCAAGGGACATTCGAAGCCGGGAAACGTGCCGGTGCAGTATTGCAAAGATGGTCACCGTGTATTTCGACTGGTGCTAATGTTGTTGTTCTTATCATCGGGATAATCACTGGCAGGATGCCTGTGGTGGCTACCACCAACACTGCTACTCCCACTCCTACTATTGCTGCTGCTACTGCTACTGCGACGGCTACCTCTACGGCCACGACTACGGTTACTCCTCCTCATCCTACTACTACTACTACTACTACTACTACTACTACTACTACTGCTACTGCTACTACTACTACTACTACTACCACCACCACTACCACTACCACGACAACGAAAACTACGACTCCAACCTCTCCTGCTCCACTGCAACTATTGCAACTACTGCTGCTACTGATGCTACTGCTACTACTGCTACTACTGCGACTGCGACTACTACGAAGGCGACGGCGACTACAACTACCAAGTTACTAAGTACTACTGCCACTGGTGCTGCTGCTGCTGCTGCTGCTGCTGCTGCTGCTGCTGCTGCTGCTGCTGCTGCTGCTGCTCCTCCTCCTCCTCCTCCTCCTCCTCTTGCTCCTCCTCCTCCTCCTTCTGCTCCTCCTCCTTCGACTACTACTTCTTCTTGCTGTACAACCACTACTACCACCATCATCAATACTGCTAACTTCTTCACAAGCACCAGCACTACATGCCGCCACCACCACCACCACCACCGCCACCACGACAACCACCATCACCACCGCCACAACCACCACCACCACCAGATTATTGTGCTCGTCGTCGTGGCCGTCGTCGTCGTCAGCATCGCCATCGTTCTATCATCATCATTAGATCATCAGCAGCAGCTGCAGAAGAATAATAAGGAAAAGCATCATCATCATCACCATCATCATCACCATCATCATCAGCGTCATCATCATGATCATCATCATCATGATCATCATCATGATCATCATCTTTGTCATGCGACTTGTTCCTTGGCATCAGTCTTGCCAACTTAATTGACTCGCATTGTCAGTATGTCTGATGTCGCTTCTGTGTCTTTTTTGCTTCTACTGCAGAATGTACAGTCACGGGATGGACTCAGGAGGGCAGCGTGCAGCAGCCTTCAAACACACACGGACAGGGATAAGAGGTGTCACACATGTCTGAAGACGGCCTTTCAAGAAGGCAACGATGAACACGTTCAGCACCTGGATCGTCATGGAGCATTCCGACTTGCAACATTTCGAGAGGCTCCATGCCTGTCTGCACGCAACTCAGCCACTTGAATCTAAATGGGATGGCAGCTAGCATGGGCATGGCACGAGGCGCCCTGCCGTGTCGAAGCAGATGCAGCGGGCTCAAGCTTGTTGCATACTTGATCGTCTTACACAGATCAGGACCGCCCTCCACATCCGATTAGTTAAAAGCCAAGATACTTTCTACACTGGTCAGTGACCAAACTCAGATTGCGCAGTGCAGTAAAGCCACAAGGCCCTCGGCAGTCGTCACGATTTGGGAGTTCACGTACACCCCCTGAGACAAGAAACACGCATTGCAAGAGAACGCTCAAGCCTGCACGAAAAGGGTTCACAAGCAAGCGCAGCAAGGAGCATCCCACAAGCTCAGCTCTGCAAGGTTCTGCATTGGCTGCGCATGCTGCGCAGGTTTACTGCAGGAGCTTGAAGCACAAGTGCCTATCCACCCGCAATGATCCAAGCGTCGATCAAGGCCAGGCATGTCTCGAAGAGGATGAGCTGGAGAGGCCTCAGCACGGCAAGCAAGAGGAACTGGCACGGCCCGCACTACATACGAAGGGATGCCGTTAATGATCAACTGAGAGTGCAAGAATTCAAAATTGTCGGCCACACCGAATCCATCTATTGCAATGGCCACATGCTGCACACATGTCAGCCCCTCTCCACACGGGCCAGCAATCATCACGAGAATTCATTCAAGGTCGGCTCCTGAGGCTCTTGCTCAATGTAGTCCTCGGCTTGACTGGACGGAAGGGATAGAGGCGAGGAATGGAATCCTGAAACCTTGAAGCCGGTCATTCAGAATGCAATGCCTCGACAGTGATGGAACACCAAGCTCGTTCCATTCAGCCGTTCAAGCCTGCACCGCGTCATCCCGCGCCGGGTCCCAGAAAAGGTCAGATGGGTCACGAGAATGAAAGGCCCTGTGGCAGGTGTACACCCTTTGACAGGGCTTCAGCATGGTTTAGCTGAGTGTCTGAGAGCGGCCCCGCCACAAGGAGTCCGACAGCCTGCGCTGGAACCAAGCACACGAAGGAAGTCCATGACAGTCCATGTGTATCTGCAGGACTGAAGCTGCCAGCCGACATGCTTTCATCCTTTCAGGGATGACCCAGGGATGACCCTTATCATGCAATTGCCGGCCTAAGCCGGAACCTGTTCCTCTCTCCCACTCGACCCGGTTCCCCGTAGAAGCCTATAGATCTCTCTGTACAGCCTCGGCCACCGTGCTACTCCAGCTGATGAGCGTCGTCGTGGATTTCGTCCACCCCAGGGATTCATCGGCCTGCGACCCGACGATCTGTTTTCCACCGTACCGGATGCTTTAAGGTCTAGGGTTGCTTGAAACTGCTGCACAACACAGGCTTCTTTTTTTGAAAAGAGCCATGCCGACAGCAACCTGTAGAATCTGGAAAGCCTCCCACGCAGGCAGCAGGGCCCAGTAGTAGTAGGTTGAAGCGATCTGAGCTGGGGCTTTGATGAAAGAGGTGGAGCCTAGACGAGCACTCCGTCAGGATCTGAGATCATCTGAAACAATTTCTCACTCCTGCCCTGTATCCGCTCGGCATTGCTCTCAACTGCTAGACTGCTCAAATCGCGATCCTCGATTGACATGAGGCCAGGGTGCAGTGCTGAAGATGATGCATACGAGACCCGTCAAGAGGAACAGCTCCTTGCAGGGCAGAGTCTTTGGACGCGCTCCTTCATCAATCGGCGCGCAGCGGCATAAACGCTGCCACAGAACTGTGACTTCAATGTCAGATTCGACCTGTGCCTGTGGACCCTGTGGACACCGCCATTCTGCTAGCTCGTCTTTAAGATCGACAGGGCTTCCCGCCAGGTAAAGGAATGTGCTAAAGCCGTCAAGCATGGTTGGAGGCAGGCAGAATCTCATAAGAGCCAATGCACGACTTGAAACTCCCCAAATGCCGAAAGCGACTCCAGCTACGCGCGCCTCCGATTCCCATCCAGACTTGGATTTTGGGAGTTTGGTCGTGCCGTAGTCCGAAAGCCCTGCGGGAAGAGGAGAACTTGGAGGCTCGAACGGTACCATTGTCGTTCTCTGAGTCTTTATCTTCATGTTCACAGTGAGTAGTGATGCTCATGACGGTAGAGATGGTGGCGATGATGATGATGATGATGACGATGATGATAAGGATCATGAACCTCATGATAGTGATGATGACAGTGATGTGCATGGTGACAGTGAAGAGGAGGAGGAGGCGGAGGAGGAGGAGGAGGAGGATATGTTGACGATCGAGATCATGATGGTGATGATGGTCACAACGATGACGGTTATCATCACTGTGACGAGGGGGACATAAGGGGAACATTGACGACAACTCGACAACTGCTCTTAGGTCTTTCTGCTTGCGGCGGAGCCCTCACTCGGCCTTTGCGCTCAAGATCAACTTCCGGCTTCATCCCATCTGCGAGGTGCCAGTTAGGCAAGAAGCACGGAAAGACCGCTTCGGAACAGTTTCGCAGGTTGATTCAACGTCCGAAACGAAATGTACGATCATACTGCCCTTATACATGCAACGTTCCAGGCTGATCTATGTGCGAAGTCTCGGGAGCACTAACATTTAAACTCTCGTCTGGCTGGCTGCACTAGGTCGGCTGTCCCGGATCGGAAAGATTCGCTAAGCGGATGAAGCCCGCAGCATTCCGGGCTTGGGCCAGATGCGGCAGTGCCAACCTTGAAAGCTTTTCGCTAGCAAAGGCACAAGCAACGGAGCTGCTTTGCTCTTTGAAGTTGGTACCAAAATACTCCGGAGAGTTGCTCCATCCTGACCTTTCAGAGACCTTGCCCCCGTTTGCAAAGCTCGGGACGGTCGTTGGATGCCTCCAGCTCAGCTGCCTTCCATTTCATGGGTCACTGCTTGCGCTCTTCTCATTCCAAAGCAAGACAACACGGGAACACCACGAGCCTCTGCATCAGCACGAAGCTTCTGCCGCATGCTCAAAGCGTCCTGCCCACTCCACCAGCTTTTCTTGCTGGCTACTAGCACGTTAGTGGCTGAGAGCAGATTAAGCGCCAGAAAGGAAGCACGAGTCCGAGCAACCTGCAAGCAATCTAGTGCCCAGCCAAACGGTTTAGGGCTAAGGGTTTAGGGTTTAGGGTTTAGGGTCTAGGGTTAAAAAGCCCCGCGAATCTTCATACTGTCGAGTTGGAATGCTCGACCATACGCCACAGGTGTGAACAAAAATTCTGGACGAGTGTCAACTTCAAGTTCGGCTGTATGTGTGATTTCACATGTAGACATATGATACATATATATTTTTATATGTATACATGGGTACATACATATATATATATATATAAGCACGCGTATAAACATGTGAAGTTCCCGAAATACATATACATATTGCACAAAACGGTGCGACAAGTCTTAATGGTGTCAGGCCCTCGATATGCACTGACATCTTGATGGCGGGCTTCGAGGTTTTCTTTTCGTTGAGCCTACGGTATCTGGTTCTTTAAGGTTACGGTATCTGCATCCAGATTTTTTGAGACTCACCGTTGAACTGCTACTGCCTGCAATGCGAAAAAATGCAGCCCGCCTTCGTGCCCTTGTACCTTGGCAGATGCTACCGGTACTACCGTCTGAGGATAGGTTTGCAGCCCCACCCGAAGCACCAGGACACTTCGAAGTTGAAGCCAAATTCGGGACTGGCATGGACTGTCTGTCAGCTTGATGTCACATCATCTGTGCAGGCCCGTCCGAAGGCAAGCCGAAAACAGTCAGGTGCTGGCAAATACGGGTTGAGTTGAAAACTTGCAGTGATACCTGGATCTTTGCCTGTGGTTGGCTTTGCGCTGCATCCGGACGGGGGTCGCACTCGGAGGGGCAGGTGGTGAAGCACGGCACCTCGACTCGAATGAACAAGGTCGATGCAGCTTCCCGGTCGATGCTGAAGGAATTGTGCCAGAATTTGGCGCTGAGCCTTCTCAACTCCGTTTTTCGGCCTCTTGTGCTCTGAGCTCGGCACCATCACAGCCTCATCCTCCTGCAAAGGCGGCGCCTCGTGACAGGAGGACTGGACAACTTTTACGTAGGTTTGGAGTTCTCATGGTACTCGCCAGAGCCACTAGAATCACTAGAATGACTCTCCCAAAGAGCCTTAATTAATTAAACCCGGTTAGAGCGTGGAAGCCACAAGCGGCCTCCACTCCGAACTTCCAGCGGCAACTGAAATCGTCGTAGTTCGGCCTTGGCCAGGCATCTGCAAAGTCCACTTTGGCACTATTGGACCCATAGAACTGTGGATCTACCTGCCTGCCGACCTGCCTGCCTGCCTGCACACACAGATACAGAATGTGCATGGACCGCACCATGTAATGATACCTTTGTTCGCAAGTCAACATACTGCTGCGACGCTAACCTCGTAGCTACTTGCGTACACACAGGTGTAGAGGTGTGTACATGTATGTAAGAGCATATGCATATGCATAGCAGACGTACATGTATGCACATACGCACATGCACAGGCTATGCACGGGTGCAGGCAAAGCACAAGCATGAACATGTTTGCATGCAGGTGCATTGAAAAACAAAGGCAGGGAGAGAGAGAGAGAGAGAGATGAGCACCTATCATGTTCATGTGTTTGTTTTCTATCTGTCTACGTATTATTGACTTGTTATATTCGTTCCTTTAGATACGCATGTATGTTGCTATTGGTATACTGATGTTCAGCTTGTTTTATGTATGTGTAAGATGGAAGCCTCATATCGCTGTAGACGAAATACTGCAGATCCTGACTGCAGCGACGACTAGTCCTTCGGGTTGACTTCGCCAGTAGACTGCGGTCACATCGTCGTCAGTCTTCGATACAGGGATCCCTGTAAGGGCAACCTCGTGAGAATCTTTCGGAAGATGCCCTGATTGCCCAAGGCGGGTGCTGGATATGCAGCTTCATTCCGAAGTCGTCAGTCAACCAGCCCTGCGAGGGTACCTGGCTCATGCGGCTGAGAGCGGAATTCCTCCCTGACCATGCTATTTCGAAGCCGACGTTTCTCAATGCACGGGCCTGGGAATTCCGTGGGCAGCAGCTAGCCTAGTCCCAAGCTCCATGACTGAACAAAGCCTATCCCAACGGCCTTGCAGGTGTTCACACAGACGGAAGCGCAGTTCCTGAGTCGGACGGACACGTACACACGTACCGTCCATATCCATCCGTCCATCCATCCATACGCACATACATACATCATAAATGCAGCTCTAACAGCTAACATGTGAGTATAGAATAGTAACCGGTAATCGCATGTTGCCGACATCCTGTAATGTATTATGTTGTATACCTTGATGTATACAGATATACATATGATGTTGCTTTATGCATTTTGCCAGACCATGTCATGCCGCACCTTGCTCTATATCAAGGAAGCGATATGATGCAGCATGTACTACATGCTGATGGTTATATATTCGAACCTATAAAATGCTTCCTTGCTTACCGCACACTTTACCAATGCTACACAAGTAGCTGTTAACAAAGATTCTATGCAATTATTCGTATATGCATACGATTTCTCAAAAATGCTATATTCCTCTATACGTAATAAACTTCGGGTCAGAAATAAACTTCGGGTCAGGCTATACATTGCACTATGCAAAACCTATTACTTGTGTCTGCAGCCGCAAAGGAACGCCACTTGGGAAAGTTGTCAAGAGAAAGAACCCGCAGGCTATCATCTTCATGTGGCCACACACCACAGTTGCCCAGGGCGGTTGAGGCTTAAGCGAGTTGCGAGCAACTTGTGTTGAAAAAGCTGCATGGGGTGAACAGGCCAACAAATCGAGGCTGCTAAAACTTCTCTTTGTCTAGCGTGCTTTTCAGCTTGCATCAGATCCAAGGGCTCCACCCTTCACTGGCTCCACCCTGTAGCCCGTCTCTGAGGGGTCGGCGCGCTCTCCAGGAATCGGCACCTCTCTGCCTTGACCGTCTGCGGAACCCGCCTTAAGGCTCAAGTAGAGGCCAGGCTGAGAGACTCTTGGGGGAGTCTGAAGAGTGGCCCACCCTCTCGGAAGAGACTTACTGGATGTTGCAGATGAAGGCCGAGCCCCTGGCACTGACTCCGGCAAGAAAGGCCTTGCAGGCTTCAAGCTTCGAGATTCATGGTCAGAATCGATGACAGGCTGCATAGGTCTGCTATGCGGCCGTAATTACCAAAGTCGTGCTGCTGCCGCGGCTCTTTACTATTACGACAGGTACTTGCAGAGTAAAATTTGAATTCCAAGTCTTCTGCCAGTCCCTTTGGGGGAAAGCCACGCGAAAGGCATCCGAACAAGTCGGCAATCGTGCTCTGGCTATCGGCAGCTACCCATCTCGCTGTTCTCCGTGCGAGGGTGCCAGTCAGATGCCACTTTGCATTCATGCCAGAGTCCCTCCCACAATCGCGAATTGTGAGCGTGGTTTGGCGTCTGGAAGTGCCCTTGGGGTCCAGTCTGCTACTTCTGTAACGGTGCTCTTGGCCACATACTGTAGTGCTCGGGCTCCTGGGTTGTCTTCCCTGGAACAAGCAACTTATGAGGCTCTCAGACACCACGTAGGCCCCCAAGAAGTGATTAGTGGGAGACATCCTGCTCAACTCCCCACAAGAACCCGCGACAACGCCCCTCATCTTGCTGGAAGGTCTCGGAGGTACGGGCCACTTCCGAGGCCGAGACAGTACGCTTCGCCAGCTCTGAGGGACCTCACCGCGATCGGCTCAGATGTCACTGTATGACCAGACTCACGTACACATGTGCACATCATGTCATATCATGCCATACCATGTCATGTCTTATCATATCCTATCATCTCGTACCAAACCAAAACATGTCATATCAAATCAGACCATATCATGTCATATCAAACCATATCAAAGCATAGCGTAATCTAGTACAGCATCGCATATCATGTCATAGAAGACCCGTCATGTTAACATATAGTACACTATGTATCAGTACATCAGGCCATGGCAGCCCACATCACACTACATTGCTACACTCTGTTGTAGTGTGCTACCTAATCTGGGATGAATGTATCAATAAATACCACCCTATACTTTTCTTCAGCACCCTACACTACACTGCACGTATTATAAGTTGTGATACTGTACTAGGGCACCTTATTATGCTGTACTGTACTGCACTGTACTATGCTATATACTGTACCGTATTGTGGTGGTATTGTACTATGCTCCCCTATACTCGAATTTATACTGTTATATATACTGTACTATACGGTACCATACATACTATATTGTACTGTACTATACGCTATGGGAACATGCTGGCATGACATTCAATGCATGTATATACATGTGTATATATATATATATATATGTCTGTAGATGTATGCATGCATGCATGGATTGATGGATGGATGGATGTCTGTACATGTATATTGTATATTATGTGTGGTTGTCGATGCAGGTCTGAGTGTCGATCTATCGAAATATCTGTTCTTTCATTTAGTTACATATGCATCCACTTCCTGAGGATTCACGCGTAATTCATTCAGTGTTTATCCCCTGTCCTACTTAATGCTGTTTTGGTTTGCAAAGCAGTGTTTGTACATATGAGTGGCATTGAATTGTGCAACTGACGATACCTGCCGCATCCGTCGTCTCTTTGTTTTTTGCCCTCTAGTCTAAGGCCAGTGTACCCTAAACTCTAAAACCACTAAACCCTCGAACCCCTGAACCACTAAACCCCTGAATCCAAAAACCCGTAAACTCTCGGACCGCCAAGCCCCCACCCCAAACGCAACGCGAGACAGCCAGGCCTCGACATCCACGTGGTCATCCCCTTCCATGGGCCTCATTCAGGCTATGACGCGACTCTCCGATACCTTTGTCGTGTACTAGGCTTCAAAGGATTGAAGTCGAAGGCTCTTGTCAAAGGGCTTCAGGGATGTTTTGTCTAGGATGTTGGAGCATTTAACGTCTTGGGTCTGATTTATGGTGCTCCGAGGTCTGCACCCCATGAGCCACGGGAAGAGCAAGTAGAAAACCTGCCGTGCAAGAGGGTCGCCGATGTCTCCAGACAGAAGAATATCTCCGTTGGGCTCCCGGCGAGGAAGAAGGAATAGTTGCTGAGCCACTGAGGTGCATTGGGCTGGAAATACCTGGCCGATTTCGCTGTGCTTCTTGGCTTCTGTGACCTACCCCTTTCCAGTGAAGGCACTTCTTCCAGAGAGGTGGAATCCAGCCGATGAAAAGGTTCGGCCTTGGGCCACTATGCCTGCTACACCACTAGACCACTCCACTGCCAAGTTCTCACAAGTCATCCTCTGAGACTGCGGAGTCTAGTTATGGAGATCAGGTCTGTCCCTGCACCAGGCATGCTGAGGTTGGGACAGGATGCCTTCAAAGACTTTCCGGGCCTTCGGGCACTTTGAAGAAATCCTACGAGATGGACACAATCGGAAAGCTGCCATTTCTGCCGGGCAATCTCGCCGTTCGCATCAGAAGCCCGCTGGCAAGATGACACCTTCTTGGGCCCCAGGCTCGCACTTGCAACTCCTTCGCCGTGCCCTGTCCATGGATGCCAACAATAAGAGCACTCAAAAGTACTAAGTACGGCATAGTACGGCGCACTCGCCTCCATGTCGTTCACTTCTCGCACCAGCTCCATGACCTTGGAAAGGAGCTTGGCCAATCGGATCCCAACGGCCTCAACGCCTGAGGCACCCGCTCCATCATATCCTTCAGGCGCAACGAGAAGGTCCGGTAAAACCAAGCAGTTCAAGGGCTTCTTTTGCATAATTCGTGCACGAAGATATCTTTAAAGATGGCCGGAATCCATGTCATCCTTGCCAGTCCGGAGGCCTGAAACCCTTCCGGCTCGAAACGCCAAGACGGAACACGGCAGGCAACTGGCCCAGCTCTCCTGGCTTTGGGCTGTCGTGACCAGCTGACGTAGCCAGGAGGTGCCTGACAGTGCCCATGAGCACCTGCGACCTCGGCTTCGCGCCAATTGTTGCTCTCAGGTTACACGCTGCATGAAGCTTTGAGAGTAGATTCACAGATGCCTGGCACGTCTGGCTGTTGAACCGATGGTTATGGTGATAATCGTGATGATGCCGATGGTGATGGTGATGATGGTGATGGTGGTGATAGTGCTGATGGTGATGATGATGATGATGATGATGATGATGATGATGATGCAGGAGGCGCAGTGGTAGTCGTCGTCGTCGTCCCCCTCGCCGCTGTCACCGCCGTCGTCATAAATTTTGGCAGCGACACCGATGCAGTAGCAGCAGTAAATGCAGCCGTGCCGCACTCGTCGTTGCGGCAGCACACAAGTTTCAGCAGCAGTAGAAATATGCTGTTGTTGCCGGCATCATCCTTAAGACGGTTGTGAGTACTGTTCGTGCTGCTGAACTGGTCATGCCCATCTACATTATAATCGATCGCAGAAGTCGCCTTTGGTGTCCTGCACTGCCACTCATGCATAATCTTACGATCACTAACATAGCTATCAGAATCACTCCCCGCTGCTGTTCGACTTCTTACCGTGTTTATTGCACGTGCGAGCAGTACAGACATCATTCTGCATGCTGGTGGTAGGGCCAGTGACCTGTCAGTTTTCATTACGAGTAGCAAGTTCTGCCGTCAGCTGCGGTCCCTTTGCAGGCAGTGGCTTACGCTGCGTGACGTGAACCTTGGGCGTATCTCTGAAGACCTTACTGAGCTGCAAACACTGGGCTCTGGTCGATGGACTCGTAGCTTATGCGCCCATCTGGCCCTGAAGCAGTGGGATACTGGCACTCGCAGACTCAAAGCTATTCAGATCTTCCAGAATCCCTGTACAAAAACTATGGAATATACCTTAGATCATTGTAGGGATCCGGATGTAGTTTTAGCTTTATTCCATAATTAAGGGATATTGAGCCCCCAAATATTATGACTGCTTAGCCTTTGCGGTTTTGGGTCTGGGAGCTTGGGGTGTTTGGGGAGTGAGCGTTTCAGGCTTGAGGGGGTGGGAGATGAGGCTTTGGGTCTAGGGTTTAGGGTTTAGGGTTTAGGGTTTGGGGTAAAGGGTTTGGGGGTTTGCTGATGATTGCACTGATGAGCTTATGCTGGGACTTGGGCGAAAGGGCAGCGAAGACTGCCGCGGCGGCGTGCCCTGCGTGCTCCAGCTGCGAACGTGCAACCGAAGCGCACGACAGCACCTACCATCCACTGCCTTCCAAGCAGGCTGCACAGGCACCTGATCCATGAGCCAGGGAATCACACCCAGCCACAGCATCTGATCCAGTGCGAGAAGTCTAGAGTCTGGCAGCAGTCGAGACAAGGTGCTCCTGTGTTCTTACGCTCGACCATCCAAGAAGTGCAAAAGACTGGACACAACATGCTCTTTGACGCTTCCCTTGCCAGATGCTGCCGAGCCTGAGCAGCAGATGCAGTGGCATTGGCGTGTCTGCACACCTCTTCCAGGGATTTCCAGGGAAGCGTGTGTCTCTCTGAATCTATGACGGAGCCTGGGCAATGACGGAAAGAGGGTCTGCATAGTCTGAAAATCTTACTTGGATGAAGGTTTCATCGTATTGTCCTGTTCCGTTACTGATGATTCTATAACATGGTTGTGAGCTATCTGTGTACTTAGTTGCATTAGTATTGCCCCCTTCCCTTTTTATCATTGCTTTGCATTAACAAGCTTGTTGCTTGTGCTCTCGGCACCATGGCGCCGCGGCCTTGCCCCACTTGGATCTCACCAGGGCTGCCACCGCGGCTGCTGCTGCCAGCCGCGGAACTGAACGGGTGGACTTAGGATTGGGGTTTAGGGTTTAGGGTTTAAGGCTCACGGATTGAAGGAAGGCAAAGCTCGCTGGAGTCTAGTTACTTAGTTATGTCTCAGCTGTGACAAACACGAGAGGTGAGGTTCTCAGAAGGTCGGTCGTGCATGCCGAGGACGGCTAGTTATTGCGGGTGCAGAGGTGCATTCCAGCGCTTTGTCTGCGTCGTTTTGCAAATTGCGTCTCTGCAAAAAGCCGGCAACTCAACACCATGCCAGTACGTTGAGAGTGAAGGCACTGCATCGAGGAGCAGCGTTGCTCGCAGGTGGAGCTGCTGCATGCTCAAAGCCCCAAATTACGTGCCAGAAGCTGTCATGGTATGTTCGGCACAGCTGACGCTCACCACCTAATGAAAACTCCGGTTGATGAAGACGCAATCGGGGCCAATCGAACATCAGATTGTTGCATGAGACCTGCTACTACGATCAGGTACTGCCTGCCCCACGCACACGCACTCACATTCCGTCTCGACCCTGCCTGCAGAACCTTGAGGTGCTGAAGCAGCTGCCTAGCGCAAGGGGGGACAACTCTTCCAAGGGGCTCTGCCTTGGAAAGATACACCTTTGATTGCCGTACCCGAAACCCTAAACCCTAAACCCCAAACGCCCTAAACCCTAAACCCCTAAACCCTAAACCCTAAACGCCCTAAACCCTAAACCCCTAAACCCTAAACCCCAAACCAGTGGCTTGCCCTGACTGGCAACGGGCCAACGTTTAGGGTTTAGGGTTTAGGATTCAGGGTTTGGGGTTTAGGGTAGGCCCCCATCAAACTTGAGACAGCCTGAGACCCCTGAGATGGTTTGAGCAAGCAGCGTTGCGCTGAGTCTGCAAGAACTCCACGTTTTCAGAAGACGTCTTGCAACTACGCGCAGATAGCTGTGCAAATACAGAGTCTGCAAATCTGCAGGACTTGACAGTTTTCCACACCCCTCCTCACTGGAGCCCGCGTTGCCTTCGCTGGCAGCGTCTGAGGCAGGCCGGCTGCGTGAGGCGCAGGTTGCCTGGAGGCACCTTCTTATCAGATCCGGGCATCTTCATCGTCTGGCTGAGAATAGCTTAAGTAGGGTTCAGAAACCTCGCGACCCACACAAGGCTCTCTTGGAACGGTGTTTGCGAAGCTCGCGAAATAGATGCTGCAGCACTGTACAGACGCACTTTGTTGATGTTCAGTTTCCACGGCAGCACCGACACCAAAACTTCGAATCGCAGCATGAGAACGTAAATGTTTCGAGTTTTTCGGACTCATCACGAACATGCTGTTTCGTAACTCGGGATCGCATTCAGCCTCGATGTTGAGCATGCGGTATGTCGACCGGTGCATGCCCGGTCTGAGTCCCGAAGGCCGAAAACTCACAGAACCCAAAGCAGGACCTGCAGCACCGACACTGAAGGCAAGGGCCATGGCGCGAAAGCCACCTATCTCTTCGGAGCAGTGCTGGGTCAGGAATGCAACGGGATCTCTGCGAAGTCTCCAGAAGAGTGCAGTTGGAATAGATTCTTGAACAGACTTTTCTGGATGCTGATCTTGCATGAGGTTGAGCTTCGGCTCGAGGGCACAACCAATGCAGCGTAGGATCACAAGGCACCCTGCACCGACGCCTACACAGGCTGCTTGCACTTTTTTCGTCCCAGGCAACAGCCGGCTGAATATGACACTGCTATCTTCTGCAGAGCAGACCTAGCTCAAGCAGATCGACAGGAAGCTGGTAGTGGACCCATCCGAACACGAGTGGTCACGCTGCTGCGAAGTGTATAGGTACCGAAAAAGAGTGAGCCAGCTGTGTCGTCACTGCAGATGCAGATAAAGCGCTGGAACATTCTGAAGTTTTCACACATCACTGGGCTGGGGTGGCGAACGGTTCAGAATAATTTGCTGAAGGATGAAGATGACGTTCGACTGTCACATGTCTGACCGGGGCAACGAGCCCAGTTTCATTCATCGCAACACTGAGCTACCAAGGCCAAGATGAAGATGCATGGCAGAGAACAGATCCAGCTATCTCCAGCTTGCTACGGCAAGGACAGGGTCTCTATGTGTATAGTAAGTCTACCAAGCGTTGACAAAGCTTTGAGGCGAGTGGATGCATTAGCAGAGGTCCACTTGCGTGGCACCACCCCAACATAGGCCCATCGTACATGACTCTGTGAGGCCTTGCATTTCCACGACATAACAACCTGGTATCGAAAAACGGCCGCTATGCACAAATCTCAGGGTGTCACTGACTGGGCGACTTCTTGCGCCCTCAGTTGCTCGAAATGTCTCCTGCAGCGGCCGGGCGAAGGTGTTACGAAGAGGTCTCCTTTATTTCTATATCTATATATACTCTTATATATGCCTATATATATATATGTATATATACACACATACAGACATACATACGTACCTACATACATACATACATACATACATACATACATACATACAGCGCTATCTCATTACATAATAAGTGTCTAGATGTACAGATCTTTCTCGAGAATGAAACTCCGTCCTGAGAATCAAGGCGTGATTGGCTTGTCCGGCTTGCCACCTTCGGTCACGAAGATGTTGATCAGCCTCAACTCTGTGATGGGTTCTCATCCGATTACCATCCGTTGCTGTGCGAGATGGGGCAGGTCCAGGCCATCTACAGGGGGTAGGTTGGTCAGAGACTGCTTAGTGCAGCACCAGAAGAAAATGACGAAGTAGACAATCGTGAGCCACGGGACCTTCCGGTGACGGAAGTACACGGATGCATGGTCCGGGCTGCAGGAAAGTGACAGCTGCAGCACACCGCGACCATCACAAGCAAAGCAAATTTCCTTTACATCCAACTGGATTGACAGCTGAGCTGCGCCGGCAAATGGGCCCTTGATGCTGGCACTGCCCTCCTTGGTGTAGTCATCGACAACCTGCCAGGATGTCAGGCACACTTTTCTGGGCTTAAACGATGCTTAGAGTCTTAGAGTTTGAGAGTTTTGTACTGAAGTAGGATGATGCACGCTGGAAAGAAGCAGCAACATAATCCAAGTACACACATCATGCTGCAGAGGGGAGGAACTGGAGACATGGCTCTGGCACCTACCTCACCAAGCTTATGTTTTGCATATGGTTGGCAGGTAGGACTTGAGATGCGCAATCTTGACAACCGCACCCCACAACCACAACTCGGAACTGCTACACAGACCGTCATCTAGCATCACCTCCCAAGCTCGAGCACACGAATCGAAGACAGCTTCGCTTGCTCTATCAGGCAGAGATGCTCACTTTTTTCTTCGTGGCCGGCTAGATAGATTATACCAAAAACCAAATTTAATCATGATGGCAACAACATCAACAACTTACTCAGCAACAATCATGACAACGATAAGAATAACGATATTGACAACAATACTCACAACAACAATACCAATAATAACAATAATAACAATAATAGCAATAATAGTACTAACAACAATAATAAGCATAACAGCAATACTAACAGTAATAATGATAACAATAATGACAAGCATAAGAGCAATACTAACAGTAATGATAACAATAATCATGACAATAATAAGAATAATCATAATCATAGTAACAATAATACTGACAATGATGATGCAACGACTGGACAGACACGCCCTCCTGTTCTGGCGATCTCTGCTGGTCCCCCATCACAGCTCACTCTCGTAGTTGCGATCTGCTTGTCACGATGTCGCTCTACGAATACTGCACCGCCGTGGCATCCCTGTCTCTATCTCTTTCTTACGCTCAATCCCTTTGTCTTTCTCTCTCTTGCTCTCCCCGGCTTCGTGTTTACACTGAGCTCCACGAGCCTGGATGGCGTCCCAGATTCCGCCCAGCGACTTTTTCTGGAGGCCAGGGGCAAGGAGCGAGGGTGCCATGCTAGGTCCGGGTGTGCCTACATCCACTGCGGGCTCAGCTGGGCGAACAGTGCAGTGCCTTTGGGCAGAATGGGATGTTCATGATGCCTACATTGGCTACATCGAGCCCCCGAATGCGAGCATTCTTCGCCAGCATCTAAGGTGAGATCGTGCTTTTTCAATCGGATCGGGCTCTGAACGTGCGCTGACACTGCAAGTCAGCTACAATGCCTATGGTTCGGAAGCCTGATCTGACTCTCGAAACCAGGGAGACAGGAACATCTACGATGAAGGGAACAAGCCTCAAAATCTGTTGCTCACTCCGCAAACTCTCAAATTATGTTGGGGTACACATTGAGTTGTCATGCCTCCTCTGTCTTCTTCACCATCGACTTATCCTCCTCGAAGAAGCCCATCTGTGTCTTGCTGGTCCTTTGCAGTGTACATGGTTACTCAGCTACAGACTCAAGCGAGACAGCACTGCAGACCCGTCGTGAGCACGACGGGAAGACACTGAAGAGACACTTGCAATCACTTGCACTTATCACCCTAAACCCTAAACCCTAAACCCTACACGCTAAACCCTAAACCCTAAACCCTAAACCCTACTGTTATCACCGAGACTGCAATGACGTCAGACACTGCAAGGCCAGGGGCGCCGGGGTCTGGGGACGATCTGTTACTGGGCTCTTCCAGGTAGAACAGCACTGTATCAGGCACTACTACTTCCTATGAAAGAAACCCTGCTTTCTTTGAAGGATCCTAAACCATAGGAATTATGGTATATTTCTTATTGTGAAATGCAGGACTTATATCATATCATCAACTGCAAAACGCTATCCCCGCAGTCACCGGCCAGCCTGGCAGGCGCCTTGCTTGGGGCAATGAAGGCGCGTCCTGCAAGGTGATCACAAGAAAAACCATGGCAGAGCCGGTCTCTTTCAGGAACTTTACGGCTTTAGAGCCCGCTGCCCCTGCAGTTTCTGCCATGACCATCCGAAATTCAACCTGGCTTCTGTCAAATGGCCCTGAAGCCCCTCGATCGCTTCCGGAGCCTGGCCTGCCCACAGCGCAAGCCTGAGCAAACGGGTCTCAGCAAGCCCAAAGTTCCCAAAGACAGCATCGTGTCGGCATGGCGCCCACAAACCAAGCGCGCAGGGTTGCACAGCTGCCGCCAACTTTGAAGCGCGTGCACGTCGTGGAATCGGAAAGAAAGGCTCTCTCGCCGTCCGCGCATTGCACCCCGAACTGCACCCAGAAACACCGCATGCAAAGTCTTGCAAGACAACTGGGCGGTGCGGCGCAAGGGCTGCCAATGCTGCAATGCGAGAGCCGCGCATCCTGCAACCGAAGATGCAAGGGGTGGACCGTAATGCCTGGGTAAATCTACTCCCTTGCGCCGTACGCTTGCTTCAGATGCCAGTGGCCATGTAGCTCCAAGGCTTAGGGATGCAAAGCTTCGTATCCGCACGCACAAGCAGCCCTTCTCCCACAACACCCTTGACATGCTGGGTCCAGGCATCCTTCTGGTGTGCTTGCCTCGAAGTCCTCACCACCGAAAGCAGGAGCGGGAAGTAGCTTTGAAATTGCTGCGGCGGTCACTTCATCTGTACCAGCAAGAAACCATCTGCGCAGTTGTGTGGAACAGGTCGCACGGCTGACGGTCTAGCTGCAAGCTCCGACTGCCTTTTTTTGCACTCCGCCCGCCTTCCTGGCCTCGAACGAGGTTGCTGCGCTCACTTCTCTGCATCACGCTCAAGCGTGACGACAACCTGCGCTTCCGAGGTGTCACTTACGATCACGAGGTACTGCGTTTTTCGCCTTTCATTTGAGCCTCTCCAGAAACAGTCTGCACTAGGGTCCACCGCTCCGTGAAATTAAACCTCCTGTGCATCGCAGACAGAATCGGAAAGAAATATCCGTTCACCGTTTGCGTTTTTCAAACTTGCACTGTGGAGCGATATGATATACCGGTAAGATGGGTGAGGCTGGCAACTGACATTGGCTGACTCGCTCTGCGGGCTTAAACGTGCAAGTTCTCACATGTAAGTCTCACGTATCTTGATGCACCGGGCCCACAACAACTCCATGACAGGGCGTGCAAGCATAAGTCGTTGTTCACCCTGCTTTGGCCAGAAATTATTGTTGCAAGAAGCCGTATACGTGCATGTCCTCTTGGGAAGTAACTTGTCTGCTTCCGGATCCGACACGATCCGGCACGCAAGCAAGCGGGGAAACCTCCAAGTGGCGCGTTTGAGGAAAGAGATCAAATGGAGTCGCCTCAAGCTGCACGTTGACAGAGGTGTGTCCTTTTGCAAAATGCCGTTCTGATTGCTGGGGCAACAGACATGGCCCAACCAGGGCAGGTTGCTTTTGCCGGGAGCTTCTAAGGATTTGGCCGACTGTATCGTGTAGCCCGCATCGACCAGGTCCTGTGATCAGAGGGCAACTCAGCTACGCGGCAGTCTGACTTTATACAACCAGACCCGAAAGAATTCGACCATCCGCCGACTGAGCACGATTTCCTTGAGGCTACTAGTCGCGCAGACCAGCCTCGCTCCGCTGCAGAAATGGAAAAGTCTGCGGGTCTGCATGCTGGCTTCGTTTGGATTCAGAGTTTTGCATTTAGGGTTTTGGCTGTTGGCTTGCGGACTCAGGATGTAGGGTAAGGCCTCTTTCAGCCCGTTTTCCGAAGAGTTGCACCTGTCTCTCTTCGGTTCTTCACTAGCCCTGCTAAGCCCAGAATCGAGCGCTACCAGCTCCTTGCAAAGACTGGCAACAGGCACAGACGGATCGGAATTCGGAAAACCCTAAGCTTCCAATTCTACGTGATACCGCGACTTGCAAAAGTGCGGAACATCACCTCCCCGTTCAGGTCCTTCAGGTCCCGAGCTTGGGTGGCCTTGGCAGGCACAACGCCATTGCTTGAAAGGATCATTCTCCGAACCTCATGCTCTGAAAACTCAACAACAATCGAAGTACACTGCCCAGACAACAAGCTTTGCAGAAAATGAGGAGTTGGCCCCTCTCACCATGACCACTAGGGCTATTACTCGAAGACTCGTGCAGCTTGGCGGCACAGTCGCATGACACATAAACCACACGGCGCGGTCTCCAAGAGGCCAGTGCTTCCCGTGCCTGGCATCGCACTAGTGTGCTGCCCCCCAACCCAACAATACAACTCTTCCCCGAAGCCATGCTATAGCATATTATGGTATGTTACCCTGAGGGTCCAAGTACCTAAATAGTAGGGTTTCACCTAAAACCTTATTATTTGGGTACTCGGACCCTCTGGGTTAATACTTCCAGTGACGCGTGCTCCTTCCATTCACAGAGATGACACCGCAGCTGGTGACTGACAGATCAGAACCACGTGTTAAGAATTAGAACAGGGTTTATGGGTTTAGGGCTTAATAATTATAATGTAGGCTCTGTAGGGGCCTTAAGAATTAGAGTAGAGTAGTGGCATTTCCTCTAGATAGGTTAGACAAGCAGTCCAAGTCAGAAGCCCTCGGACCTAACCCGTCATACAACCTCAAGAGGCCTTTTGATCTATCCACTCACTGATCCAGCCGCCTCTGTTGTCAGCCCTTGTCGTGGCGGGTCGAGGATAGCAACCTAAGCTAGTTTTCTTCCAACCCGTTTGTGAAGTTGCCTGGTAGACAATGCTGATACCTGCACCCCGCCCCTTTAGTCACGAAAGCTCCAAATTTGGCCAAGGTTGAACAACCGCAATAACACATAACAACACCAAAACAGGAAACTCAATCGATCAGACTCAGGCACAGGCGGCATCCTCGGGTGCCACAGCTGCAGCCACTTGCCTGAGATGCCAAACCAGCACTTGAAGCTCTCTTCATGCTGCTCAGCCTCGTAACTTCCTACTGGCACGAGCCATGGACAAACAGCGGATAAGGCAGCTCCGGATTCCATCCCCTTTCGAGGCCATCCAAACCGTGAATTCAGCATCCCGAACTTTACCAAAAGCCGCAGTCAGAGATGAAAACTATAAGGTTTATAGAATTTAAAGCGCTTATCGAGCTTGGAGATCTCTCAGCACCCGGCGCCAGTCCCTCTGCTGCATCTGCTGCTAAAAACTCGGCTTCACAGCCGTGCTCGGCGGCGTTGCGGCCTAGGACGAGCGGAGAATGAAGTCCAGCCAGCACAGAGTCCGTGGGCCGAAAGTTCTCCTGCTTTGGCTATCGAAAATGCAATATCCAACACAGGTTTGCGGAGCATGTCCAGAAAGTCCGTACAAAGCCCCACGATGAACGAGGATCATAGCTCTGTTGGGCAAACCTCACCGATTGTTTCCAGGCCCCTTGATGCAAACTTCGCCTGATGCTTAAGCCAAGCTTACCCTTGGAGATACAATGTGTTACGAGTAGCTTTCAGCTCTTGCGATAGTTATCATCATTAGCAGCAGGAGCAACTGATCGGGGCGATAGTGCCAGCCACCACAACTACAACGGGGTCAACAACCGCGTGTGGGTCCTTGCCTGAGTCTGGTCGTTAGCAATACTTAATGCACGGAGGGGGAGAGCGGGAGGGGCGCCCCGCCCTACCACCATGATCCAGAGACAATGCCCCCCATACCATGTTGAGTGATGGGATAAGTTGGAAGAGCTCCGTCCCCGTTCCCTCAAGGTCGTCCCCCCTCCCCGTACCTGAAGATCCCTTGTCCAGCATGTTGCGCAAGGTACGTGCGTTGTCTCCACCCCGCAAGATCAGCACTAGTTTCTAGCAACAGCTTCAAGAGCAGTTGGCAGCATGGCGACCTTCGTGTAGAGTGATTTCAGGGATATTGCTTCAAAACACGTATTACGCACACAACTGCATAGCTATTGCACTCTCTGACAAGGTATATTTCTGCACGGTGAGTCATAGCGAGCCTTGAAACGGAGGAGGAGGAAGAGGAGGAGCAGGAGAGGAGGAGGAGGATTTGAACGAGGACAAAGATGAGGACAGCGTCGATGCTTGATGAAGGCGATGGAGGTAAAGGAGAAGAGGAAGCTATGTTTGAAACGTGCTTTTTGTGTCGCTTAGTAGCTTACTAAAATGAATTGGAAGACGTCAACTCCCGCATGCTCCACAAAGCTAGCTTTCACGATCGGCAAGAATGCAGGAGGAGTTTCTTCAAAGACATGCAGCGGGTCTAGGCGTCGGGCGGGCCAAACGAACGGCGGTAGCGTCCACCTGGCACCACGATCCTCTTCTCGCACTACTAGTATTTGGCTGCTCAGTTGCGCAAGCGCGAATCTTCGACAGAGCCCGAACACACGCCGTCTTGTTCTTAGAAGTCACAGAAAGCCTCATACTTGAAGGCCTAAAGCGCCTAAAGCCTACCTCGATGCCGATCACACGCTGGAAGCGGCTTGCCGCGCTGAGGGCAAAGAGGCCCACGCCGCAGAAGATGTCGACCAGGGCCTAAGAAAGGAGACACTCACGGACGGAAACAAAGAGGACCTGCACAAAAATCACACGAAACGTGACCACGAAGCACGGCTCCACAGCTGCGGCATCATTGAATCACCCGCTAACTCGGTATGGGACTGCGTGAGCACGTCCTCAGACTGAGCAACCGGCGCGTGGGGACACGCCGTCCACCCGCGCCGCACTGGCTGCAGCTATCACATGCCTACGGCAGACGGCTGTAGGTGAAAGCTGAGACTGAGCAACGAGCTCACGTCTGCATTTACCCTTGAGCTTTGGGCTCGACGAAGACCGGCAGAATTGAGGAGTTGTTCCTGAGAGTGGAAACTAGTTGCAGCTTGGGTCACACAATCTGCATCGGTCGTGGCGACAATAGGAAAAGTACATGAATCAAACATGCAAGCGAGCTGCTGAAAGAACCCGCCGGCTCTAAAGTGAAAAGCCTCGCCACAACTCTGGTGATGAGTCGTATTCGATGGCTCCTTGATGTCCCAGGCCACCGGCCCCGAACTTCGGCACACGCTCGGTGATAATCCTAAAGGGGTCTGTGACCTCAGGACAGAGGTGGCCACGTCTGCGTCGTGCAACGTAGATCACGCTTGAACCCTCCTGAGATGCCAGTTCATCACACCAAAGCTCTGTGCTCCCCACCACGCCATCGACGACGGTGTCACCTGAAGCTGGCAACGGCAGTCTCCGTTTCGCCGATCTACAGGATGAGAAGCACTGACGATTGGTCTTGTTGAGAGCTCGCGGCGAGTCGATGTCGACGATGTTCGACTTTGAGGAACGGTTCTGGACGTCCTTCCTGCCATCCTTCCTGCCTGTGCGCTCCCCTTTCGTGCTGAGTTGCTTCACGGCGACGATTTTGCAAGACGGAAGCTGGATGTGGTTAGGCCTCAAGCTGGGAAGACAAACTTCAAATCTAAACATCGGAAACCAAAACGAGCCACACTGCCACGCTGTTGCGGAATCGAACAAGGCAACCTGCACAGCACATCATCCAGGAGCAAATCGAGCACCCAGCGCAGGAGCAGTTTGCCTTTAGGCTGGCCCCCCGCGCAGGCCTGGGCCCACCAACTTTTGATCCGCATGCATCCAGGTATGCATGCATACACACATACATACCACATACACAACATCTTAGCATTGTATAGAGGATGCTGAAGGATGCCTCAACAACCGCAAGATGAAGATTCAAGGCAACAGGTTTTCTTCCAAGAAGGGACAGGATCCCTGGTCCCATCACAGGGTCTTTCAGGCTCAGTACCAGCGGATCGCAGACACGACGACATGGCAGCGTCGAGACCCCGACCTTGGCGCGCTCCGCTGGCAGCGCCTGATTCAAAGCCTGCGGCTGTGGGACTCCGAGGCTTCTCTGCCCGCGCACGGAGCAACAACTTGGTCTTTTGAATGAACTAACCGGTTTGGCGTTTATCGGAGTTCTCGTTCTTGCATCACTCATCACGGAGGCAGACTGGGATCTCTGCTTCTTCGCCAGCTATTTGCAATGGCCCACATACATCATGCTGGCAGGCCGCAGACCGGCTCGAAGGTGAAAAAGGACTTTAAACACGCTTTTGAAAATTCTGCAGTCTTGCATAGGTCGAGACTTCAATATTTCGACAGCATCGATCCACCAAGATGAGCCTCAGGTTTTGGCCGGTGTTCGTCCACACCCGAGGGTAAGGGCCCAAGTGCGTAAGCTTCGTCTGCCCGCACAAGTTCCGCGATTCGCCCTTGCCGGGCCCTAGCCACACTGCTCACCGCAGCGATGTTCAAAGTATGGCTCTCTTTCCGTTACTCCTCCAGCCATGCAGCAAGACTGAGACTTCACTTACTTGCAGGACATGCGTCATGCGAGATGGCAGAGAAGCCCAGGCTCCTTGCCACCTACTCGGGAGGGCCACCAGTGGACTGCACCGCAAGGCCCTCCTCGTCAAGGACCGGACCGTCCGGCATCTGCCAGGTGCTGTCAAGACTGTGTGGCTAGACCCTCTACACTTATAAGGACAAGTCCTCTGATGCTACCACAGCTCTCTCAACAAGTCGCGACTCGTGGATGGGACAGCTTGTTTGCATGCAGCGGCAAAGTCTTCGCTTGTCATCGCATTCGTGAGAAGTGCTGCCCGGCATTCAAGCGCAATCGGCTTGCTCTTTCTCGTCTCCCACTTCGTCTTACTCTCACCAGAAGCCCTTGTCAGACAGTTGCTGCCTTGCCGTGAACCTCCTCGTAGGACTTCTTGGTGGGCGCCCCGGAGACTTGGCACGCGAGGCCCTGGCTATCGATGACTGGCCCCGTAGGAACCTCGGCTTGGAGGGCTTGGATCCACAGGACTTACAGGATTTATTTACTGATTTATGCATTTATCTAATTATAAGTGTGAGTTTCGCTTTGGGCTTGCTGTTTGCGATGATCCTCAACGCGCGCAAGGCAAATGCCGAAAGGTCCTCCGAGCAGCAGGGCCATTGACTTCTTGGTAGCTCTTCTTCCTTGGTTGTGGGAACTAGCCGATCACTGTCCCGCCACGGAGCGCCAACAGCAGCATCAGAACAGACCGAAAGCCAAAATCCGCTGGTAGCACATCCTGGCTCTTCCAACTTGCCCTCGCCCCCTTTGCTTTGCTGACCAGGCTTCTTGGCCGGCCCACCCGTTGACTGAACTGCCAACCCTTTGCTGTCTCTGACGGGGCCTCCTGGAACCTCAGATCTGCAGCTTCCGGAGCTCCTGTCTTTGCCGGGGGGCCTGAACCCAGAGAGCCCAATACCCCTTAAATAAGGAATATACCTTAAATTATAGGGGGCCTTAATATTATGGGTATACTCCTTAATTAAGGGGTATTGGGCTTTCTGGGAAACTTGCTGCGGCCCACGGAGCTTTGCCATGAACTTCTTGGTAGCTCTTCCTCGTCTAGTAGGCACCGTCTACCGAAGTCACCACCGAAGCTGGGAGGGAACACACAGTACGGGGGCTTCAGTACAATGGAAACAGGCGCTATGTTCGAGTACACTCCATTATATTCTGTTATATTCTAGTATATATAGGTTTTTATTTTATACCATATTACCGTATGTTCTACCAGAGTATATTGTAGCACGTTAAAGTCTATATAGTATATTACGGTATATTCTAGTATATTATGGTATATTATGGTATTATAGTCGCCAAGCTTCTTCACGGGCTCTCCCGTGGACTGCACCGCCAGGCCTTCCTCGTCGATGACTGGCCCCCCGGGCATCTTAGGGCACATTTTCAGAGGTAGTTTACTAGTTGAGTATAATAATGCACTTTAAAGTACTAGACTGTACTACAATAGACTTCACTATACTCTACTCTAAAATAATATACGATACTTACTACCATATATGGAAAGAAGATGTAACAAGTACCGGGCCGTATCTGAGGGGTTTGAGTGGCATGAAGCTGCAGCTCAGGCCTCGCCGTGCACGTCCTGGTAGCTCGGCTTCTCTGCCATGCTGGGAGGCTCACAGTAGGCGCTTGAACTCAGACGGCTTCAGAAACATCCAAAGAGAGGCTGACACTCTCACGCTCACTCGAGCCCGCGTGCGGCTCCGAAGGCATGACGCTGCAGGAGAAGTTCTCGGGTATCTTCTCAAGTATCTTTCGGGATTGACGGACAGCGCGCAAGGAGAGGTTCGGCGAGGCCTCCGTCGCAATGGGGCAAGACCTCATCGCAATGACATCCGTCGCTTGGGCAGTTCATGCTGGAAAGCTGGCAACAGACAACCCTTTGCTGATTCCAAGCTCAAGGAGAAAACCATGCACGTTGGCCTTAAATGTACCGCAGATTCGACTTTCTTTCACTCTACATACTTACTGTCTGTCAATGTCCCTCGATCTCCTCGCACTACTAACCTCAGACTCGTGGAGGACCGCCCTAGGAAGACGAACAGCAGTTACTTTAGCACGCCAGAAGCACCTGCTGGGCCGCCTGCGGCACGTCGACGACTTTGCGCCAACGGCGGCCGGAAGCGTCCCGTGTGGAACCCCAATCCTCCGTCAACTGATTCTGCTTGCAATGCCATGAAAGACCAGCTGCGTACATAGCCTGCACTTGATTTTCGAGCGTTTACTATCTCTGCATGACTCGATTTGTGAGGCTTTATGCATCCATACACTGCTGATCACTGCTGTAATTTTCGTACGTATGCCTGCATCTTTATAAGTACGTGAGTGTGCTTCAGACGCGTACCTATACACATGACATGATATGAATGAAGGTATGTATGTATTTACTTTTTTATGCGTTTACTTGTGGACTTATCTATCCAGCCATTCTATCCAATTACATACATCTGTCTCTCTATTTGCTTTCTGAACTATCTATCTGACGCCACATATACATGCGTGTGGGTGTACGTTCAGGCATGTGTTTATGTCTATGCGTGTCTGCTCGTTCATGCATCCAACTATTTATCTGCTTGCCTTTTCCTTTTAGTTTGCGACTGTGTCCATCTAAATCTGCGGCAAAGTCTTTACCATTTATATGTCCGATACCGAGCGAAGATACATCGGTGGATTAAGAGCCAGATGAACAACAGCTAGGTACAGCTACCGGTCTAACTACGGTGATGCTTACCACCGCCATCTGGCAGTTCTTCTGGTGGCCTTAAGCATCATCTCAGCGTCTGGAGAACTAGTGGTAGGGATGTTGAAGATGGTCTTCAACCCACTAGATTTTCATAGGATGCCATAGGGAGGTGTCAGGAGCATTTCGTCGGGAAAGGAATCTTCGCGCACACCCAGGCCCAGAAAGACAAAGAGTACAAGCAAGCATCTTTATGGGTTGAATGATTGTAAAGATGCCCTGGCTCCTCATGCAAGAGAAAATGGTATGCTATAAACTTCCGCTTGGCGCGATTTGACTCTTAGACTCTAAGATGTAAACCCTGGGCACCGGCACATGGCCTGTTCCAAAAATCCGATGGCCGAGTAGTCTATATCGTCCTGCCCCAAGGTTCCAGGCAATGCCGTAAGGAAAGCAACATAAACAAGCAGAATCACCATCATGACCATAATAAGAGCACGGCTCACATGCCAATGAAGACAATAAGATTTGCAACAACGGGGTAGTATGGGTGGTGGTGGTGGTAGTAGTAGTAGTAGTAGTAGTAGTAGAAGTAGTAGTACAAGTAGTAGCAGTAGTAGCAGACGTCGTAGTAGTAGTAGTAGTAGTAGTAGCAGCAGCAGTGGTGGTGGTAGTCGTTGTAGCAGCGGCAGTAGCAGTAGCAGCAGAAGCAGAAGCAGAAGCAGAAGCAGAAGCAGAAGCAGAAGCGGTAGCAGCAGCAGTAGCAGTAGCAGTAGCAGTAGCAGTAGCAGTGGTAGTGGCAGTGGTAGTTGTAGCTGTTGTTCTACAGTGGTGACACGAAAATACAACCGATCGTCTGTATGGCATGTGGTGACAGGGAAGGTTGACCGCACCACTGAGCACCATTTACCACGCGACTGCCAAAACCCACCCGCAGCCCCTTGGCCGGGCGCAGCAACGATCTTGCCAAGTGCAAAACTCAAGTGGCCGTCGCGCAGTGTGGGCAAGAGCCAAGCAATTGACATAACTGCTGGCAGCTCTAGCAGCCAAAGAAATTTGCAGATAACCTGCGCTGCACATATGAGACATGTCGGAAGAAGACGGTCCGAGTGGACACTCCTCTGACAATCTAACCATGTCATGTCTCCTTCTGTACCATGCTGCGAACCTCGAACCATCCATGTCAGTATATTTGGCAATCCGGCATGACTCGCAACCAACTGGCTGCTCGACTTCAGGATTTCGCAGCTCTCTCCAAGTCTACACAACTATACATCTCAGCTGTCTCGAACTGGCGACTGAGCCCCTGGATCAGGGAACCAAGTGAATGCAACGCAGAGACTCGGCAATTTGCGTGTCTTGTGCCAAGGCAGCGACATCGCATGCTATCTTCCGGGGCCCAAACAACCGCACAAACATCAAGCCAGGCTTACAATCCTGCTTCTAGACTCTAGACTCCATTACACCCCAGATATGCAGGATTCTTGTGCTGATACGATCTTTACGAACCCTGCAAGTATAGTGACCATGCAACAAAGGCCTCCTCGTCTTACACATTTGCAGCATGGCTTTGTAAGGCCCGGGCCGTCTGTCCTTGGCTCAGAAGAGGCAGAAGTCCCGAAAACCCATGACTCGACTGTAAGTCTGACCAAGTCGCTCGACCGAGTTCTTGTACGCAGACGGTGGCACCAAGGCCTCTGTCATGCATGTCTGGATGGAGCGAGACATCCCCAAAACAGCATCTCATTGTCACCGGAGCACCGTGCAGCGCTTCATATCGGCATCCCCGACCTCAGGGCAAACCGGCGGGCTCGCAGAATTTGCCCTGTGCGTTGAAACAGCCATGTCCTGCCAAGCAGCTGCAACCTGAAACATCATCCACGTGCGACGCAGCGCATTCATCTGCACATACTGGACGTTATGCTTTTTGCATATGCCTGGGCAGCTGCCACTGGGCCAGACATCTGCACACTGGTACTGGTCTGTGGCAGCCCAGCTTGATGCAGCTTGCCAGAACTGTGCGACACCGGATGGTAGCTGAGAGAAGCGGCTCTTCACCAGCGGCTGGAGCTTGCGGTACCTGCCAAGAACTTCCTATTCAGCCATCACAGAGGACCTCAAGAAACTGCGTCTTGCAGCTAAAGCTTTGACAAACTCCATCCTGAACCCTTGTCTTCCACGTGCCAGGGCACTGCAGCGGAGTCATGTCTGGGAACATATGGTGTTCCACCTGAGTGCATCTTTGCACGACCGAACATTCCCACAATGACTTTCCATGACTTTCCGCACTAAAGACAAAACTTCATCAGTAGTGACAAGCGGCCTGATAGTTCAGCCAACCATATACGGTGTCGATCAACTCCTCGGTTTCAACAAAGCTGGTGGCTCGGACTCTCTTCAGATGCCAACTTGCTCTATGAGAAGCCTCAATGCAGACGGGCATCCGTGCCTGTCTCAAAATTGGCCGACGAATAAGCACAGCGCAAGAGGAACTCCGCCGAATGTGCCTGCCGTGCAAGATGCACTCAAGCAGAGAAGCCTTCTTCTTCTCAGATTCTCCAGATTCTCAGGAAAGCCCTGTCCTTGCAAGACGTCGAGTAACGGTAGAGATCTCCTCCGGCATGATTGCAAACGATGATTACCTCAGCATAGCAAAGTCACAAGCCATCACTGTACGTGCGCTTTTCTAGCCCATGACCATACTGCTGAATATGCGCTAATGCCTTCTGTTCCAGATGAAGGTTGTCACAAGAATCGGGTTGCACGTCAGAACTATTCAATTCATCTCCACACCGTTCTGGAAGTTCTTGGCGTTCAAGTGGTGGACGACAAGCGTGTCTCGATGTTTCGGTTTGGCCTTGTTCTCATGGTGGCATAGCTTTGGGTCAAGCTTCGAAGGAATGCGCATTGGACAGGAAGTCAGCGGCGACCGAGGTGAGCAGTGCTCGCACTGCGGCCTAAACCACGGGCCGCAAAGCGTAGAGCTCCCTTTCAAACCTCCCCCGTCATTCTTTGAGGCCTCCCCGGGCGAGACGCTGCTGGGCCAAAGCTTGGCTTCGCCGAGGAGGAGCGGCCAAAGCTGAGTTCGCAAAAGGGCAGCGAAGCACTGCGAGACTTGCCGAGTCGGATCCTGGGGCTTGCACCCCGGGCAGTGCCACCGTTGCCATCATGGGCAGCACAACTCCAAGCCTCAAGATAGAAGGGTCGCGAGAAGAGAAGAGAAGAGCGATGAAGAGCGCAGAATCGTATCGAGGGCACGTGAAGCTGAGACGGGGGCCAGTGCATGAAGAAAATCATCCAATACGCTGCCTCCATCAGGTGTCCTCTGAGAAGGGCCTTGACATGCAACAAACACACCAACCTATGACAAAGCTTAGGGTTTAGGGTTTAGCGGCCTCTGCAGGAAGACGAATCCCATCATAGGCCAACACCTGAGAAGTACCGGATTGCGAAGTCTGCCTTCTGCCGAGCTCGTGTCGGGGGCTGGACTGGAGCCGTCTTCTTTGCCTCGGCCGGCCAATTCCGGGCCAGCCAAGTGTCGGGCTTCGAGAAGGTCAGCTCCTCTTGGCCAGCTGATCTAAGGAAAGAGGACGCGATGACACCCCAGCGGCGTCTCCTTGAAGGTGTTGGGCGAGTAATAGGAAAACTTCCAGTTGAAGGTCCAGAACAGCATGAAGACGTACTTCAGGATCTGTCGAAAACAACTACTCCGATGCCTACCTAACACGACCGACCTCGTCTGGCGTGTCACTCATGTTCCCACCTGGGGAAGTTGCAGTGATCTGAGAGTCACGAAGTTCTCTTCGACGAGGTCTGGATCCTTCTCCTCAGAGAGGTAGTAATGATGAGCCTGCAAAAGAGACTGGAGACTTTGCCAATGGTGCGTCTAGGTCTGAGCTATCTTACCTACCCTCTACGAAGTAGTCAGAGTTGCAGCAAAAAGTATACGTGGGCCGTCAAAACCTGGACTTGTTCAGAATCCATGGGAATCATGGACTGTTCTGCCTTCGGGAGCTGTCAGAGTCTGTTGCGTCGAGATTGTAGGAGGGCCTGCAACTCTGAACTTGCTAGACTCTGCTAGATATTTTAGGGATTCGGGCTGTGTCCTCAATGAGTCACAGAAATGAAGGCCCGGGTCCGATCCACCCTTCCGTCAGTCTAAAGCTGAAAGACTACCCGGTGAGCTTGTGGACCTTGTTGTGCTCCACATCCTTGGCCACTATGCAGACATCATCCCGCTGCACGGTTCTCTAAACAAGGGATGCATATGGCGAGAGTCCCAAGCTTGGGGGAGCATCCAGTCCATCCAGTCCAAAAAGCGGCGAAGTCCAATCGCAAAAACGCCACGCCTCACTGACTCTTTAAACTGCCTAGCGGACTGCGATGCTTCATAGGACTGCTTGCTGCCATGAGGCTTGTAGTGAGATGGCAAGGCATGGGGATGCGTTTTCTGCAGCTTGTCAAAGCCTTATCTGTTCTGCAGAAACTCGCAAAAACCGACTAAAGAGGATTCGATCTCACCGCATCGGGACTGAACGTTTCGACTCCAGCAAAAGGCAAGTCAATGTACATCTGACAGCAGCCCTCCCTGTCAACGGAGACACATCTTGTGCACGGCTTTGGCAGTCGGTGCGAGGTTGCTGGCAGATGCGGTAGCGATGGCGGTGGTGGCAAGGGAAGTGTGGAAGCAGCAGCATCAAACATTGTGGTGCTGGCGGTCTTGGTGACAGTGGACGGATCTTCACTGTGGAGTTGTGAAAGCAAACTTCTCGGCATAGGCGGCGGGGCCCGTACAATGCCGTCTTATCTCAACAAAGATGCCTCCGTGCGAGACGTGGTGACCGATAATGGCCCAATTCATGCAGCGCGCGAAGGAGATCATGCAGGCACCTCAAGAGAAGGAGAGTCCATGACAATGCGGCATCCGGCTCAGGCGGCCCAGGCGCTGAGAGTCAAAGCAAGCCAAGCGAAGTGGGGCAGCGCTGCGCCCAACAGCAGCAGGCAATGGCCTTCACCCAAGAACTGCACCGAATCAACAGCTACCTTCCTGCAGCCTATGACTGCAAACACTTGGCCACTGCAGTCGAAGTGCCACCGTAGAGCAAGACCTGCAACAGAGCATGTCGACGTGGTGTGCCGCTCCAAAGTCAGGGATTGCAGTCCGGGCACCCGTGAAGTCAGCACCAGACCCTGCAGGTGGCGCGCGTCCTCTTCGGTTGCATCGCCCACGGCCGCCTGAAGTGCTTGAGACGTGGCGCAGAGGGGGGCTCGTTTCGTCTTTGCTCTTATAGCATCCGGGCCTTTGCTGCCTTAAGATCTGCTACGAAGGCATCCGGATCGAAGCTTGGGTCCAGGACGTAGGTGTCAGACCTGGAGTTCCCGTAACTCAAATCCACAACGCACGGAGGCAAAGCGCAGCTAAGCTCCGGACTTGCACATGTTCAGGCCTCAAGCTTGCAGAGAGCAAAGCGTGGGCGGCAGTGAGGATCGAAGGAAGACTTTGGCCAGCCCAAACTTGCTGCGGGGAGCGAATCCAGGATTCAATCCTCGACAGCTTCCGGCTGTTTACGGCGGCTTGTAGCCATTGCTCCGCACACTTCTGGGAAGCTCCACCAGCGCAGGTCAAATGAGACAACCCACGGGCTTTGGCTGCTGCGTCTCAGGTGCCAAAGGTCCTTCCTCAAACCAGCACTCTTCAGACCCCAACAGCACAAAATCAAAAACTCGAAACCTTCTGAGAAAAGCCGCAAACCCTCCATCCGAAACTCGTCAGCACTTTGACACCTCGCCACTCCGCGCCCTTCGCTGGCGCCCTGGTGGAGGCTCCTATCAACGGGGTTCAGAGTTTGAGTGCTCTGCGGCCCTAAACCCTTTCCTTGTAGTACCCTTACCCTCATGGTAACCCTTGGAGTAAACCTTGGGGCACCCTAAGAGTACGCGTATAGCAACCGTTATAGTGACCCTTCTTCTGGTAGCCCTTAGAGAAAGCCTTCGAGTAACTCTTTATTCAGGCGTCACGGGTCTCAAGGTCAAGAAGTTAAACAACCCTGGAGCCCATGTGTTGTAGCATGGTATGGCGTATTACCTTATGTTGTAGCATGTCATAGTATGCTATCATGTAGCCCAGTCTAGTATTGTATATTACAATCGATTGCAGTATATTAAAGTCTAGTATAGCTGATTCTAGTCTATTCTAGTTTCTTGATGTCTATTGTACAGTTCTGATCCACCAAATCTGCAAGACCCGTGTCTCAGCAATCCCCAGGAAGCATGGGCTTTGGTCTTGGTCCCGATGGGTCAAGCAGGAGCACCAGCAGCAGCAGCAGCAGTGGGTGTGCAGAAGAGCCACAGCAAAAATGAACGGTACGCCCTGAGCAGACGTGACAGTACACATCTAAGCTAATCTTATCCTCCCTGCCTCTCATTCCGTGGAACTTGGGGTTGACATCTGCCATCTTCATTCCCGAAGCCCCCGAAAACAGTCCCCGAGACCCACTGCGGGCTCGAGAAGCACGGGCCTGCTCATGCGGGGTGAGTTTCGTGCGGTAGTGGTACTGCAGCGGCGATGGCCTCGGGCACCAGACCGTGGCCAGCTTCTTACACACGAACGGCACATTGCAACCATGGGCACTAGGAGCTGAGCTTGCAGGATGCACTGCCCCTTCTTGCTCGCGCGAAACCCCAGCAGCACTGGTGGCAAGGTTTCCAAGTCCAAGACTAGCTGTGCTGAAAATTCACGTCGCTTCACGACGTTTGCAAGAGGAGATGACACAGAGGGTAGGCTCTGTCTCATAAAAATCGCGGCCGGCATCACTGGAGTCAAGAAAGGTTTTCCAACAGGATAGTGCATCTATGCACCAAACACATCATAATGGAACCCGGTGACGGGCCGCAGTTAGAAAAAGTTCACGAGCTTTACAAATCTTGCAGCTTTGGTAGATGTAAGCTTTCAACATTCTCCACACACATGTGCAGGCGAGATCTAGGGGCTCCAAGGGCAGCACAGACACATCCACCAGCCGAGTGCAAACGCCCAACTTCTCAATTGAAGAAGGTCGTTGGGCACGGGGCTGCACCTGCCCTTGGTCACTTGATCAACCGATCTTGCCATTCATCTGCACCTCTCAAGTCACATCATGAATGCCCACACTGCACCTGCACTTACGCTATACCATAGACATGCGACTCATCATGATTCCTGAAGTAGTGCAATCAGGGGTGTTGCAAACTCTAACATCACATATCAGACCACGAGAGGGGAACTCCCTGGGTTTTGTCAGCAGTCTAGGGGTCATTCCTCTTGAGGGTAAGAGAAGCATCGGTTCCCCATCAAATATGCCGATGCGAACAGTTCAGGTCAGCAAACTTTTATTGCAACAGCCCCGCGCAACACCCCTGAATTGAGAGAGCTTTAGCTACAGAAAACTTGATGGTGCAGATGAAAGCCGTTTGTCTTGCAGCTAATCTCCCTCATCCCCACGCATATTCCATGCAGACACGCTACGAACTGACTGCACCGTGGATATCTTTCTTATTCTGAGGAAAACTGTGGCCCAGAAACGCACAAGGAAGGTGAGTAAACAGGAGAAGCATCTAAGGGGCTAAGCATGCTAGAGGACACGATGAAACGTGAACAAAAACCAGCGCTGCGACTTGTAGCACTTTTGCTAGCCTCTCGACGTACTACCCGACTAGACCAGCATCCCTTGCCTGGACTGCCGCGTGTCATGCGGATCGCAGAGCCCTGCAAAGCAAAGCGGTGGGCACAGCGCTTGTTGTTGAAGACCACGAGGTCGCCGCCTCGGCCAGGGCATGAAGATGCTTCCTGCAAACCTTGCCCTGCTGCATGGTGGAGGTTACGGCTGCTTCCGCTGCTGGGGGGCCCTGTTCTTGAAACCTTTCAAAGCTCAGGTCGGGAGCTACGGGTCCACTGCCTGTGACTTGCATCATAGCCAGAACGATGGGTACTTCGGGGAGCTTCTCCGGTGAATTCGCTGCCCCAGCACAGACTCAGGCTCGAGCTGTTGAGTTCGAAGTCCTCCTTCCATCGCTCCTGGGGCACAGGCTGATGAAGGGCAAAGCTAGTGGCTCTGCTTACTCACGGTTACAGCAAAGCCGGCGGAGTGTTGTCTTAGGCCATGGGTTTAGGGTCTGAGAAATCTCGTGCGCTGCAAAGCAAAGCGTATTCGAACACCTCAAGCCTCAACCCTGGAGCCCTGAATCCCGAAACCTAAAGCCTAAGACAAACCTTACACCTTACGTCTTGAACCCTCATCTGAAACGCTTCATGGGCCGAGATGCAGCAAGCTGCAGGATACCTGGGAGAATCCACGAATCAGATAGGTGTAGGTACAGGGATGGGTAAAGGCATGGACAGGCAGATAGATGGAGCGACAGATAAATGGAAAGATTCAGAGAAAATACTCTGGTTTATAGTAGTATCGGTCGCGCAAACTCGGAACTCGAAAAGATCGAAAGGAAGATGCAGGTGTTCCATGCGAAAGGCAGCAAAGCAGAGAGTACCTGCAAGTCTCCCGGCTGTGATGACGACACTTCTCTTTCCACACAAGCAGGAGTCTGCACCCGACAGATCGTAAACCCGTGTACAATACGTAGATGCATGTATATGTGTTATGTATATATATATATACATGTGTATGTATGTATATTTTTGCATGCACAAATGTGTATGCATCTAGACATAGTTACCGAGAGTGAAGGAGATTGCATATGTGAGAGTTCATGTGCATGTATACGTGTGAGTGTGTTTGTGCCCATCTGTATGTATGTATGTATGTATGTATGTATGCATGCATGGCTCTGTCTGTCTGCTTGTCTGCTTGTTTGTCGGCTTGTCGTTCTGTCTGTCTGTCTGTCTGTCTGTCTGTCTGTCTGTCTGTCTGTCTGTCTGTCTGTCTGTGTGTGTGTGTGTCTGTATGCATGTATGTTTGGTCATGTATGTAAAACCAGTGTATACTGATATCTG